CTAAATAAAACAAAAATATTGGTGGTAATTTTTGACTGTGTAACTTTACAAACGGCAGCCCACAGCCCAGCTTTTATAAATCCTCTGTGTGTTTCTACGTTCTTTATGAATTTGTTGCTTTTCTTTGTGTTCTGTTCAGAATATCTGCTCARTAAATCATGTTTTCTGTCTCCTGTTCCTGTGTGAGCTCTGCCTTGTTGAGGCTCAGATTCAGTTCAATGTAGACCCGCTCTGATGAAGGGGTCTCAGGGTGTGTGTGTCTTTGTGTGTGTGTTTGTGTGTTTTGTGGAAAGGTAAATAAAGGGCAATAAATTCTCCGGTGATTATCAGCGCCGGGGCTCAATCCGCGGCTTTCATTCCTGTCTGCGAAGCCTCCGGTGCACACGTTAATCTTGTAAAGCGCTGCAGGCGCAGCAGCGGGACATTCCTCACCTCACAGCATGACGGGGGGGGGGGGGGGGCCGCTGTAATAAAATACATGTCTACTAAAACACACAGCCAGAGTTTAAACATGAACGTGTTGAAATGATCTTCCAGGATTAATATTTCTGTGGGAGTCAGGGTGGGTTTCTCAAACGRTGAAACCCACTGTTGAGTCGTAAACCCACCCTCCCAGTCAGAGCCCACCTGTAGCCCATCTTCAGTCTGGTTCAGTCTGTTTCTGCGTTTAGGTGAAATGGTCGAGGGAAAACTACTACCACAACCTGAGCTCGCCCTACTGCCTGCGGCTGGCCTCAGGAGACGCCTCGGGGAAGATCATCGTGTGGGACGTGGTCAGCGGCACGGCTCACTGCGAGATCCAGGAGCACTCCAAACCCATCCAGGGTGAGGGTCTCTGAGACCGAAGGGTCTTCAGCCGTCTGGCATCTCTGACGCGACGAGACGTTCCTCCTCACYCTGTCCTCCTGTCCTCCCTGTCAGATATGGAGTGGCTGTGGAACCAGGACGCGTCTCACGACCTCCTCCTTGCCGTCCACCCTCCCAACTACATCGTCCTCTGGAACGCAGACACCGGAGCCAAGCTGTGGAAGAAGAGCTACGCCGAGAACATCCTCTCCTTTTCCTTCGACCCCTTCGACCCGTCTAACCTGGCATGTAGGTCACGCACATTTAGCTCACTTTTCCACTCTTTCCAACTGACGGCCCGCGGGCCACACCCGGCCCGCTGGTGACCAAAGTCTGGCCCGCCAATTGGTTCATTAATCTCTTAATCCCAAACCCCCGATTTTATACTTTAATGACTATAAGTTCTTTTAGTTAAACAAAAGCTGTGTTTCCATTACAAATGTGCGCAAAACTTTGTCGATATTTAGTTAATTTCGAAAAAACACAGTTTCACAACTGCAGTGTTTCCGTTAAGTAAGAAATACTATTAAAGTCATGCGTGAATACGTTTGTTCTCATGATAAGTCATTACAAACATGGCAGCGATGGATGTAAACACATAGCATGTTGNAATAAAAACATAAAATAAACTAATAATCGTGATTGCACAGGTATTAAAAAAATTACAGGCATTAAGATGTTTTCTTGTAACACAAATGCAAAAATAAAGATTTTCAGAATATAGTTTTGTTTTCAAAGATAATTAGCTTTTAATTGCTTCTTGTGAAATCATGAGCATTTGAAGTTAAACAACTTCAAACAGCATTTAAACAATTTAAAAGACAAATGTGTTCATTTTCTAAAAGTGCAGGAGAAAGGTCTGAGATATTATTCTCTGAATTAATCTAAACTTTGAGCTTTGCCTCTGCACACAGTCTGTGAAGACTTTAAACTAGTTTTTATCACATAAACTTAGAAAAATCAGGGTCCACATTTTCTAACAGACTCCAGACCCAGACAGTATTTTATGGTTATTTAATTTAAAGCCTTTTATTAGATTAATTTCTTGTTTAATTGATTTGTTTCTTTATGTTTTGTGGTTTCTGTTGCAGTTTTAGTTGATGTTTTACTACCGTTAGYACGTCTCTTCACCACTCGTCTGTTCATCTTTTAAATTCCCCTTCACATCCGTTCTTTTTTACAGTTTTTGCTTTTGCTCTAAAGTGCTCGGAGTTGCACTCGTGCTCGAGGAGTGCCATTAAAATGAGGCCTAATTGATTCTGTTTGGCTGTTTGTTGGCTGTATCACTCACAGGGTTGAACCGCGGCCAACGGGAAACTGATTAACTTTTAGGAGCTGAGGGTTTTTTTTATCGCTTTTGGAAGAACGCACGCGTTTAGAAAGTTCCTGAGCACAACAACTGCTGTAGTTTGGTTGGATGTTTTTGTAAATGATGTTGAACTGATTTATGATTGTGGTGCTGTTGAACTCCCAGCAACAGATGGGATGTTGGAGACCAGACTGGAACTGAGGGCAGTAAACTGGAGAGCAGGAACTGATTTAAATAATGCTTAGAAAACAAGATATTTAATAACATGTGAAGAAATGGTTCAAATCCGTTTAATTAAGGGTCTACGAGAAGGTTATGTACAGATAGCATCTTACCTGTTGTGGATAACCTTCAGTTTAGAGAAATAGTTTAATTCTGACTGGACTGATGAGCTAATGGCTTGTCCTGCTGTCCTAAAACAACTCCAGCCTCAGAATTTCATAGCAATTCATGTAAATGCTAATTAGCATAATAATAATGATTAAATCAGACTACTGTGGATGCTTATTGCTGAAAACTTCA